GTGTGTGTGTGTGTGTGTGTGTGTGTGTGTGTGTGTGTGTGTGTGTGTGTGTGTGTGTGTGTGTGTGAGAAACAGACTTTATGATATGACAATTTATCCCTGGGCTATATAATGTCTTTGAGGAGAGGAAAACCTACCTTAAGGGTAGGTGTCCGATATTTACTTTCTGGTGAACCTGTAGCTATGCAGAGATGCTTCAAAATGTAAAATACAGGCAACTGATAACTGATGTTGCTAAAACACATTAAAGCTTTTTGAATGTGTTTTGTGATGAGCAAGAGTGCGGCGGCAGAGTCCTCTAATAAGCAGAAGTGCAATTAAATAACACAGATTGGCTCACTTCAATCAGACAAGAGTCTCAATTATCATGCAGTGACTCATCCAGTGGTTTCTCCTAACCTATATTTCCTCCAAACTGGGCTGTCTGCACCGAGGAGTCCTCTATGGGACTGTCATGAGATTCCCCTCCCTTTTCTCCTGAAGTGTTTTCTAGAAGATCCCATTGAAAAAGTGTTTCCTTTTTTCTGTCAGATACTTGACAGGTTTGTTCACACTGACATTTTCTCCCCCTGTCTGCTCTGCTTCCTGTGTTGCAGCTGACATTATCTCAACGGTGGAGTTTAACTCATCGGGGGAGCTGTTGGCCACTGGGGATAAAGGAGGCAGAGTGGTTGTCTTCCAAAGGGAGCAGGAGGTAGGAAATGCCAACAATGCAGTGATAATTATGCTGTCCTTCAGCTGAAAAGGATTTGACAGCCTTAAAGCATTAACATTGGATTGTTTTTTTTTTTTTATAACTAGCAAGCAAGAGGATGTATTTCAAAAGGACAGCTGTAAATATGCTAAAAAACAAAAAGCTTTTGTTGGACCAACATTATGAAGACATGTAACAATGTGGCACAAAAGTACTGTTGAAAGCCCCAATTCGAAAATCTAGTCTGTTCTGTTACTCAACATATAATATTCCAGAATCTATGTAAATATATCATAGACTGTATAAAAAAATGGATGTGGCCACCATGAAATCGCTCATTAATTTTTCCTGTGGTATTAACATTTTAATATTACTAAAAAAAAAGTATAGCTTCCAGGTCGGGAAATGAAGTCTTCGCGGAAGTTCCTTAAACCTATCCTGCATACTGTCTGAGGGCCACCAAATGCCAATGGCTGTGGTTGCATAAAAGACTTCTGATCCTATATTTTCCCATTTTCCTACATATGGGAAATGCTAAACACTTACCTGCTGCGTTTATGGTTCATATTATGGGTCATACGGCATAAAAATTAAGTCTTTTTTTGTAAATTATTTTATCTACCCGTTAGCTCATTGGCTAACAACTGTGGTTGTTTCAGTCACAAGTTGTTAGCCAGTGAATGACCTGCCCCTCCTGGTCATATCTCATTTTTCCAAACAAGATGGTGACCCCCCCCAAAACCCTTATCTCGCAGCCTCAGAACGAGATATCATTTCCATGTAACTTTTACTATTCATCCGTAGAGGTAGGGGCTTGATGTAATTGTGTCAAACCAGAATTAGGAGAGGAGATCCCCAAATGCAAAGCTTGACTAAAGTGTTTTATTACGTTTTGTCATTGTTCTACTATGTATTTTATTCTATTGTCAAGTGTCCTTGGGTGTCTTGAAAGGTGCTTTTAAATAAAATGCATTATTATTATTGGTAGTAAGCTTCCTAAGGGGGAATTTAAGATAAATTAAAGATAAATTACATCTTTTCCAAAATGCTAGATCTAATATTGAATCATTTACACCTGTCTTATAATCACGGGAATCTAATGAAACTTTCACCAAAAAAAAAAACAAAGTCTACCTGTGCTTCACTTTCTTTTTTTTCTTCCTCTGCAGAGTAAGAGTCAGCCCCAGCGTCGTGGGGAGTACAATGTTTACAGCACATTCCAGAGCCATGAGCCAGAGTTTGACTACCTGAAGAGTTTGGAGATTGAGGAGAAGATCAACAAGATCAAATGGCTTCCTCAGCAGAATGCAGCATATTTCCTGCTTTCCACCAACGGTCAGTACACCTAAGGTGCTGTAAGAGCAGCACAACTATCAGAATGGTCAAAAGAACCAATAATCTATCACTGGAGTAGGGGTGGGCGATAGAAACGATATACGATAGAAACGATATAAATTTGGCCAACGATAAAGATTTTGACTACACCGCTCTATCGTGATAGCGCATGTTGATGACGTCATCAAGCAGCGCCTGTTTTGGTCGAAAGCATCGCAGCTATTGCATTTGTCCCTAACCACCAGAATCCCTCACGTTAACTTTTATCGAATGGAAAAAAGTTGGCGTTCATTCCCCAGCTTCACTGCGCTAATGTTATGCTAACATAGCTGTGTCGCTAGCAATCACGTAGCACAACATTATATACCAGGTAGTCCAACTTCAGTAACCCTGCAAACACCAATGCTGTTTAGTTTTCTGTCTTCATTTATGTTCGAAGTGGTAGCAGAGCTGTACGTTTGAATTAGTTTCAAAAATCTCTCAGTCAGAACATGGTATGTCATGTTTAGGTGGAAACTAGCGAGCTAACTTCCTGTTAACTTCTAACTCCGTTAAATTTAATAAATTCTGTTTTCATGGATGCCTGGATGTTAAACTTAATTGTTACACCTGGTAAAGCAGCATCGCTGATGATTTTATTAAAGATGAAAGAATTTAGACCGTTTTTAACTCTGTGTTCGTTTGACTTTGGGACCTGAAGTGGACGGAGTTTTGGACCCAGATTACTCCGCGAAGCTCCTCACTACGGCAGCCGTAATGCTCTGACAATCCATCAAGCAGTGTGGCTTACCAAAGTTGTACTAAAACATTTTTTAACAGATTTCTGCACGCCAAAATCGGTTCAAGGTCAGTAAGCACAACCAGAATTCATACATAAGGCACACTCTCGATTTTTGAGAAAATTAAAGGATTTTAAGTGTGCCTTATAGTGTGGAAAATACCTTATACAGAAGAAAATAATATATCGCAATATATATCGTTACCGCACGTGCTTCAAATTATACCGCGATAGGGATTTTAGGCCATATCGCCCAGCCCTACACTGGAGTATGTTTACATGTGAGCTAGTGTTATTAGTCAGGTACTGTGCAAAATGATTCATTCGTCACTTTGCAGAATGCTCAGATTTGCAGTTGATGTAAAAGGAGGTGTGATGAATATCACTTGACAGTGTCTTTTTGACTTTTTGGGAGAACACAGTGTTGCTTGTTTTGCTTGGGTGAGCAAGTGTCACCTGCAGAAGAGTTTCAGATTAAGGGCTTCATGCATGGCTGTCACAGCAGGGCCACATATTAAGGCATGTGCCACCACACATGCCGTACATGTACGAGAGCCACAGCAGACAAGTACACACATCAGCTGAGAGACGTCTTGCAGATTGTGGGCTTCACGCATGGCTGCTACAGACGTGCTTGCGGTGGCTGGAGCAGATGGTGGAGAGTCCTGTGGCGATGGCCTCGCTGCTCTGACACCGGCATCGCAGCGGAAATTAAGAGGGGAGAGGAAAAAAAAAAAGCAGACAACCTGACTGCGGCTGCCATCCACTTCAGTAGACCGAGAAGATGAGATGTAACCGATGTTTATATGATGCAAAAATTGAAAAGCAACCCAGATGGCTTTTCCAGGGTGTGGGAGGGGAGGGGCGAGGGTATAAACAGCAGCAGGGAAATTAAGTCAACTTGTAGATTGATATCGGTGACATCAGAATCTACGCAGGAGTCGCCATTCATCATCCTTGCTGGCTTCTGCCCAGCTACTTGCCAGATTGTATCCCCAGCCCCCCGCATCCATCTTGTATCTGAGATTCACTCTGCTGAGCCGTGATCTAACTGTATTTTGTGTATGTCTGTGCGCCTGTGTGACGTGTCCACCTCAGACAAGACAGTGAAGCTGTGGAAGATCAGTGAGAGGGATAAGCGCCCTGAAGGCTACAACCTGAAGGATGAGGACGGACGGATCCGAGACCCATCCACCATCACCACTCTACGGGTATGTGAAACTGTTGAGTGTCACAACACCCATGATGTCACATACACTGCGGTGAAAATAAGCTGCGACTAGATTACACTCACTTTATTAGACAGTGCACAACATTTGAATGGAATGAAAACATTGCATCGATGGCACTACTTTGAATTAGTCCACAATGAAATGGACTGCAATTTATGGACGTGAAAATTAGAGTCAGTGATGGCAGAGTTTTTATTCTCTGTCACTAAAAACCACAGATTTTCTATTTGAGGGGAGGCTGGATGACCCAACGAGACTGCGGTAAATCTGACAAAAATGAAATATTTGAAGCCATGCATCAGTGGTCCGGGTGGCTTAAGACTGAAAAAACTACTATAGAAAAAAGTAAAACATGACAATTTACTGCCACTATATCCATAAATAACAAAAATGAAGAATATTTGTGCTCTGTGGAGGCTGAGATAGGCTCCAGCGCCCCCATGACCCAGATAACAGAGGGTAGATGGATGGAGAACTATTTATTTATTTATGCATGGATATCAGAAATATTTAAGAATATTTGTGGTGCTCAGTTTAAAAACGAAATTAAAAGCATCACCTAGCAGTAGCATCTTTCATTTAACCTTTTGGTAGATTCCTGTTTTACAGATCCCACAACTGCTGCTTGTAACCCAGGCTCACGTATTTTGAATGAACCAGCGTTTCTGGAAAGACCTGCACATGGAATCCAAGCAAGAAGAGTTCAGATAAGCTGATTAAGTCAAAATTTAGCATTCAGCCTTTTATGCTATGATAGCCTTTAATCCAGCATAAACTTCTTAGTGACATATGCTGCACGCCTGTGTGTGTCACAGTTGTTTTTTCATTTGTGATCAGTTTCAGTCCCGATAAATGAGAGTCTGACACCAACAAAGCAACCTGCTATCTTTGGACTCTTTTGAACTTCTGGCAGAAGAAATTGAGAATGAGCGATCAATATGTGCGCTGAGATGAACACCGTGAAGGGATCATCCTCTCTCTCTCTCTCTCTCTCTCTCTCTCGTTTTTATCACTCCGCTACCTATTTAATTTTCACACAAAAGAGGGCACACACAGACACACAGGACTGTGTCTGTGTGTGTCTGCCATTGCAGATTAGTGCTGTGTTCAGCGTGTCTGTCCCTCTTTGTCTGGCTGGCCAGGGGATCATAGCAACCTGGAGGACAGGCCGGGACTGTGGCAATCCTGTTTAGAGGCTGTGAAATCTCAGCAGGGGGAGAAAGCAGAGGAGGAGAGGGAGGAATTCACTAATATTCATCCTAGAATTCATACAATGATTTAAAGTTTATCATTCAGTATCTCATAAAGACATATATAAAACATTATAACCTACTGATTTACTTTGAAGTATTATTTTTAAGGCAGAAATGTATAAATATATTATGTTACAAAGACAATCAGATCACAGCGAATCTGCAAGGGGCAAGCTGAACGGCACAACTGTCAGTGTTCGGGGGTTATGGGTTAATATGTTCTGTGTCTCTCTGGACAGCCAGTGAAAGACATGGAAATAAAGTGACATCCACGGAGATACAGCAGCCTGCTGGGCTGCCATGTCTCTGTCAGTGCCAGCAACGGACGAGAGAAAAAGGGAAGAAGCAGCCGATTTGTTCTCCTCGCTCCCTCCCCTCTCTTCTCTTTGTCTGGGTTTTATCTGGCCAACGGGGGGCTGCATGCAGACTGGTACTGGGCTTCTTTGAAGCCCGAGCAGCAATGTGCAACTCTGGGTTCTTGTGTGTCTGCGTGTGTGTGTCTGTGCAAGCTTGTCTTAATTCTGCAGAGTTCAGTTATCATTCCTCAGCAGGGCCTGCCGATGCCCTCGGGCCATGTCTTTTTTTCCACCTCCTTCGATTTCTCTCCATTTTCTCTTTCTCCATGACACACACACACACACACACAAACAAGAAAGCGGGAGTGACTTGGAGAAAGAGAAGGAGGCGTGATTACTGGGTAGCTGTGTAGCAGAGAGATATTTGCGGTCTGATTGAACCAACTCATCAAGCAGCCCTTGAGCTTCTGTGTCATTAAGATTTGCGGAGTAAATGTCAAATAAATCCCCGGAGTCATCCGATTGTGCCTCACACACAGACACACACAAAACTGCCCAAATGGTCCTCACTAAAATATCTGGACAATCACACACACCGACACAAGTATAGACACAGATACACTCACAGAAGGCCAGCCTAGTAATTACTACCCTCAAAAACCTCAAGCTGATTTTCCTATTCTTGCATATTTGTCTGCATTACTTTACATTTTCCCTTAAATGTTCACTCCAGGTGCCGGTGCTTCAGCCTATGGATTTGATGGTCGAGGCTACAGCCAGACGGGTGTTCAGCAACGCCCATACCTACCACATCAACTCCATCTCTGTCAACTCCGACCTTCAGACCTTCATCTCCACCGATGACCTTCGGATAAACCTGTGGAACCTGGAGATCACCGACCGCAGCTTCAGTATCCTCTTGTTCTGTTTTTTTTTTTTTTTTTTTTT